TATAGTCTAGTCTATAGTCTAGTCTATAGTCTAGTCTATAGTCTAGTCTATAGTCTAGTCTATAGTCTAGTCTATAGTCTAGTCTATAGTCTAGTCTATAGTCTAGTCTATAGTCTAGTCTATAGTCTAGTCTATAGTCTAGTCTATAGTCTAGTCTATAGTCTAGTCTATAGTCTAGTCTATAGTCTAGTCTATAGTCTAGTCTATAGTCTAGTCTATAGTCTAGTCTATAGTCTAGTCTATAGTCTAGTCTATAGTCTAGTCTAGTCTATCTATATCTAGTCTATAGTCTAGTCGTCTAGTCTATAGTCTAGTCTATAGTCTAGTCTATAGTCTAGTCTATAGTCTAGTCTATATTCTAGTCTATAGTCTAGTCTATAGTCTAGTCTATAGTCTAGTCTATATTCTAGTCTATAGTCTAGTCTATAGTCTAGTCTATAGTCTAGTCTATAGTCTAGTCTATAGTCTAGTCTATAGTCTAGTCTATAGTCTAGTCTATAGTCTAGTCTATAGTCTTGAGTCTATAGTCTAGTCTATAGTCTAGTCTATAGTAGTCCTATAGCCAGTCTATAGTCTAGTCTATGTCTAGTCTAAGTCTAGTCTATAGTCTATCTTATAGTCTAGTCTATAGTCTAGTCTATAGTCTAGTCTATCTAGTCTATAGTCTAGTCTATAGTCTAGTCTATAGTCTAGTCTATAGTCTAGTCTATAGTCTAGTCTATAGTCTAGTCTATAATCTAGTCTTTAATTGATTTAATATCATATGATGAAAAATGTTCGTCATAATCAACGATTTAGTTTTGATCCAATTCACAATCATGTTAAAACGGCAAACTAAACACGTGACAGATTAATCCTAAACAATTTACTAAAATCGTCAAAAATTGCTATTATACCTTCAATATACATTATCTAAGTTGAATAACACGGTCTAACCCAACAAACATAAAGTTAAAAAATTTGAAATAGCAAGTCAAATGATAATATTAATAATCTATAGTTTAGTCTATAGAACATACTAAAGATCAGACTTTAGTATGTTTAGTGTAGACAACCGACTAAACTCTAAAGTATAGTTTGGTCTGATCTATTCGACTTTTGAGAATAGTTATGTTTTCGAAATAATTCCCCATTTCAAATCTAACATTTGTTGTATAATGTCGTATAACTGATTTATAGTGTAATATTAGTTAGGAGGATTTGTTTTTTTACTTTACGCGTACTTATGACTAATATAATACGTTTGACAAAAAATTATGATAATAAACAAGAGCTAAAACATTATGTTAATTTAATGGAAATGCTTTTAATATGATTTTGAAGTAAAAGTTTCTATTCTGATATGACTGATTAAATGAATATCTATGCAAATAAACAGGTGCCAGTGACAAAATGTTATCAGTACGCTTGCTGGAAAAAGGAAAACACTTTAATAAATGATAATGAAATTAAGTTAAAACTGCAATACGATTATTTATTACACAAATTATAGTCGAGGAATTAAGATCGAAATGGTATTAAGCGGTGGAAATTGAAATACAGTAAAATTTAAATACAAGAATTGAAAATGTCGGATGATACCCAAGTAAGTGCTAAAGATAGTTAGTTTCTTTACAAACATTTTTCCTAGGATTAATTTGCCCTTTATACTAAATTTTATCTCTTTCATCTTACAGTTCGATTTTAGCAAATGGGATTTTCCCGTGGATCGTATATGGCTGCATATACCGCCCGGTGAAATGATTGCCAAAATTTGTACCTTTATACCGGTTTTGATTTTCGGTTTAATTGCCAACTACGCCATAATACGTTTAATTATACTAAATCGCTCTTTAAGGACCCCCACAAATCTGATTATAGCCAACATGGCCATGGCCGATTTTCTTACGCTCTTAATTTGTCCCGTTTTGTTTATGATAAATGATTTCTATCAGAACTACATGTTGGGTTCGGTGGGCTGTAAAATGGAGGGCTTTCTAGAGGGAGCTTTTCTAATAACGGCCGTTTTAAATTTATCTGTAGTAAGTTATGATCGTTTGACAGCCATAGTATTACCCTCTGAGACCCGGCTAACTATGAGAGGGGCTAAAATAGTGATTTTTCTAACATGGCTGGCGGGTATATTAATAGCTTTGCCATTAGCCATTTATCGCACCTATAAGGTAAATATAGAATGATTTCTTTCGGTTAAAGAACTTGATATTAATCTAGCTTTATTAATTTTGAAAAGGTACGTCAATGGAAAAACTTTAAGGAAATGTATTGTAAAGAAAATCCCAATATTTTACCCAAATATTGGTATGTTTTAATAACCGTGATGGTCTGGTTGCCCTTGGGCGTTATGTTGATTTGCTACTCTGCCATTTTCTATAAGGTAAGGGATAGCCTAAAGCCATTAAAGTAAACGTCTCTTTAAAATTTTACTCTTTCTAGCTGGATCGTTATGAAAAACGTAACTTAAATCGTGAGCATCCCTTAACCGTCTCCTACAAGAAAACCGTGGCCAAAACTCTCTTCATCATTCTAATCGTTTTTGTAACATTACGTCTACCCTTTACTATATTGGTGATATTACGTGATAAAATCATAGCCAATACCAATAATATGGTCAATAGCCAGTTCCGCTTGTTATGGTATATTTCCCAATATCTCATGTTTTTAAATGCGGCCGTAAACCCCGTTATCTATGGCTATAAAAATGATAATTTTCGTAGAGCTTATGATCAGACGCCTCTATGTAAATGTGGCAAGAAAAAACCTTTGGTTGAGGATAAATTACGTAAAGTATGTAAGTTTGTGTTGCAACTACTTTTATAAAAAATTGATTTGAATATTTTTATTGCAGAAAAATAAACAAAGATTTTGTGCACAAATTTTGTTTAATTGGCTGGAGGCTCATAATTGCTGTTTTTGTTCAAAATCTCAAGATTCTTTTACTCTAAATAAGAATCAACAAAATTTAACCAGCGATTCCTTAAAATATGCCAAAGATGAAGAGGTGCATGAAAAGTTTAATATGATCTGTACAAGGAGCACAATAGATGATGAAGGTTTTATTTAAATGAAAGTTCACAATACATATATACATTTTAAATCGATTTTGTAAATATTTAATAAGGTTTAATAAAACTTAGGGGCTGGTTTTATAGTTCAAGCCAAGACGAAATATTACTCGTCTCTACATATACTGAACTAGATTGTAGAAGTTCTGTTCTAGTTCTGTTCTAGTTCTGTTCTAGTTCTGTTCTAGTTCTGTTCTAGTTCTGTTCTAGTTCTGTTCTAGTTCTGTTCTAGTTCTGTTCTAGTTCTGTTCTAGTTCTGTTCTAGTTCTGTTCTAGTTCTGTTCTAGTTCTGTTCTAGTTCTGTTCTAGTTCTGTTCTAGTTCTGTTCTAGTTCTGTTCTAGTTCTGTTCTAGTTCTGTTCTAGTTCTGTTCTAGTTCTGTTCTAGTTCTGTTCTAGTTCTGTTCTAGTTCTGTTCTATGTTCTAGTTCTGTTCTAGTTTCTGTTCTAGTTCTGTTCTAGTTCTGTTCTAGTTATGTTCTAGTTCTGTTCTAGTTCTGTTCTAGTTCTGTTCTAGTTCTGTTCTAGTTCTGTTCTAGTTCTGTTCTAGTTCTGTTCTAGTTCTGTTCTAGTTCTGTTCTAGTTCTGTTCTAGTTCTGTTCTAGTTCTGTTCTAGTTCTGTTCTAGTTCTGTTCTAGTTCTGTTCTAGTTCTGTTCTAGTTCTGTTCTAGTTCTGTTCTAGTTCTGTTCTAGTTCTGTTCTAGTTCTGTTCTAGTTCTGTTCTAGTTCTGTTCTAGTTCTGTTCTAGTTCTGTTCTAGTTCTGTTCTAGTTCTGTTCTAGTTCTGTTCTAGTTCTGTTCTAGTTCTGTTCTAGTTCTGTTCTAGTTCTGTTCTAGTTCTGTTCTAGTTCTGTTCTAGTTCTGTTCTAGTTCTGTTCTAGTTCTGTTCTAGTTCTGTTCTAGTTCTGTTCTAGTTCTGTTCTAGTTCTGTTCTAGTTCTGTTCTAGTTCTGTTCTAGTTCTGTTCTAGTTCTGTTCTGTTATGTTCTAGTTCTGTTCTAGTTCTGTTCTAGTTATGTTCTAGTTCTGTTCTAGTTCTGTTCTAGTTCTGTTCTAGTTCTGTTCTAGTTCTGTTCTAGTTATGTTCTAGTTCTGTTCTAGTTCTGTTCTAGTTCTGTTCTAGTTCTGTTCTAGTTCTGTTCTAGTTCTGTTCTTGTTCTGTTCTAGTTCTGTTCTAGTTCTGTTCTAGTTCTGTTCTAGTTCTGTTCTAGTTCTGTTCTAGTTCTGTTCTAGTTCTGTTCTAGTTCTGTTCTAGTTCTGTTCTAGTTCTGTTCTAGTTCTGTTCTAGTTCTGTTCTAGTTCTGTTCTAGTTCTGTTCTAGTTCTGTTCTAGTTCTGTTCTAGTTCTGTTCTAGTTCTGTTCTAGTTCTGTTCTAGTTCTGTTCTAGTTCTGTTCTAGTTCTGTTCTAGTTCTGTTCTAGTTCTGTTCTAGTGCTGTTCTCACAGTCTGCTTTATGACAGAGTTCTCTTAAAAATATCGATCTCTTATTTAATAGTTGTTTATAAAAAAGTGCCGAATCCCCTTAATACATTATTGGAATATATAAGTCAATATGTATGAATGCAAAAGATGTATTGGAATTTTACTATAAAAAAAATTATGAATGAACAGTTATAATTTTGTTTAACTAACTAATGAAATGAACAAAATTTGATTTAACAAATCAGTAATGAAAGGGACACAAACTCAAGTTGTATAGAAAAGTATAAAAGTGTGGAGAATTGTCAATTGCTAAAACATAAAATGTATTACCAATACCGTGGATTTTTATGTGTGATAATAATTTTAATAAATATAAAATCTTTAAAAACATTTAATGTAAATTTTCATTACAATTATAATTTACAAGCAGAACCTTTTAATACACAAATCCATAAAAGAGAATCAACCTCATATTTTGATAAAGGTAAGTGAGAAACGATAAATTAAAGAAATATTTAAGTAGTATTAAGAAAACAAGTTTATTTTTATAAAAAATATAACAAAATATTTAGATTTTTTTTAAATAGATATAAACAATCGTTGGTTCTTTATGAATTCAATAAACAATTAAATAATAATTTGTACAAGAACTTTAAACTGTATTATTTGAGAGTACATTAGTAATATCAAAATTATTCCATAGTATGTATTTAGATCTTCTTATGTGTTATTTCAAACCAAACAGCTCCTTTTTCATATAACCCGATTTGTGTAATTCCAAGTATTTTAAAAATAAACCCATATTCATAACACCTTCTTCATTTTCCATATCATCACAAAACAATTGCTCTTTGAAACCGGTAAATCTTCTTAATTCATCCATTTTTACTCTGGGTTTTCGCTTAGACTCGATGGTACATATGAATATCTTCTGCCAATTCATGCTCTTAATAATGCGCCAAAATTCCTGAGTACACTCCTTTAAACCTTCCACACATATAATGCCCGGTTTTCCTGGCCGCATAAAACTAGTCAAATCCAAATTACGCGATTGTTTAACTATCTCCTGTCGTTTTGTTTTGGACTTAATGTGATGCGAATAGATCCACAATCTTTCAAAATCCACCAATTCTTCTTCAGCATTAATTTCCACATTTACATCATTAGTTTCAAATTCACTGGCGTCACGTTCCATTAATACTTGTATTTCTTCTTGGATCCAGCTTAATACCTGGAATATATATGTTTCGGACTTATCCATAGTATTAATGAAATTTTCAATTTCATTTTTGAAATACGATTCCTTGTTTTTACTCAACAACGTGGTATGCACTATAACAAGGGCATTTTCTAATATGGGATATAAATGTGGCAGTTCAATGCGCACTTCTAAGTTAGTTTTTCCTTTAGGAGTATGTAAATCCAGTTTGATACTATAGTCCAATTGGGACTTTAACAGATTGCTTAAGTTTTCATCACTAGGCTGTTGTAAAAATTCATTGAAATCACTAATAACACCGGGATCAAAGATGTGCATTTCTCCGGGTGAGCAATAAATAGAGGATAACATATCCACCTCTTCCAGCTGTTTGGTAATGCAGTCTTTATATAACTCCAATTGATCAACCATATTGCTAAAATACATATGAAAACCCCAGTTAAGAAATTAATCAACTATTTGCAGCTTCATTTTCTTTAAATGGTTTTGAAAAGATCGAATCAATACCAGTGCTATTTCCCATTGATATATGTGTTTTCAATTTGGAAGGTGAGAAATATGCCACCGCTTTGCATATGAAAAGAAATGGTGCTAGACACTTGGAAGTTCTTAAAATGAAGGTAGATTTTTAAACAAAAATCTCTTGATTTACTTAACTTGCAAGATATTTCCTTTTTTCAGAATGGTTCTTATGAATTAATAGCCGATATAGAGGCTCCTAAGGGCATTGCGATGGATTGCATTAACTTCAATAATAAAGGTTATGTGGCCTTGGCTTTAAACCTTACCGAACCGGTTAAGTATGCCAAAGAAGGTTCACCGATTTACGAGATTGCAGGCAATCGTTTAAGGGCTGTACAATATTTTCCCGCTCCCAACCTCATGTCAGTCTATCTGCGTGCCAGTGGCAATGAATTCTTTCTTCTACACACCTATAGTAATTCCCAAGATACCCCTAATCTGCATTGTCCCTACTTCCAATGGTCCGGTAGTACGTTCAATAAAATGGGTCGTATACCCTGCAGTAATGCCCGACAACTGGCTCCTTTTTCCATAGACTACGAAAGCTATGTGGCCGTTGCAAATTATGCCGATCAAAGGGGACGCACCTCTACAAATTCAGAGATTTATAAATATTCTCGCGATAAGAAAAAGTTTATTTTATTTCAAAAGATTAGAACAAATGGTGCGGTAGATGTACAATACTGTAGTGTACCTAACAATGAGGTGAGAAGACAACATTTTTTGGTTTTCGGCAATTCGATAAGTACGGCTTCGCTGGCGAAGAGAGAAAAGGCTAAAAGAGAGGGTAAAAACTTGGAAGCAGATTCGGTGTTTTATCTATTCGATAAGGGACAATTTATTCCCTATCAGAAGTTGTCCTTGTATGCAGTAAAGAAATTTTTACCAGTGCAGGTTAGTAAAATTATAAACTAGACTATAGATTAGACTATAGACTAGACTAGACTATAAACTTGAGTATTGGATAGAATAGACTATTTGCTAAAAATATGTAATATTTTTTGTAGAATATAGAGGCAGAAAAGTTTATCTTATTGGTGGCCTGTACAGATCAAGATATTAAAATTTACAATTTAAACGATTGGAAATTTGAAGAATCAAAAGTACAATTTACTGAGGGAGCCTTAGGCAAGGGCGTAGCAAATATGCGTATTTATCAAGAGAATGAGAAAAGTTATTTAATAATCGCCAATGAACTAATGGCCGACAATGAAACCAACATATTTTTGCCCATATTCAAACAAGAAGAGGATGCCAATGCCTTAAGACAACAGATAATCGATTGGGCCAAAGCAGAAACTCAACGTTTGCAAACTGTAAATACGAAGGAACTAAGCAAACGAGTGGAGGTAAGGAATACAATTTAGCTCTAGGAATGTTAATAATTATAAATCATATTTACAGGAAAAACTAAAAAACTTGGAACAATTAAAATATAAGCCAAAAATGCAGGATATAGCCGAAGCCAATATACAAACTGTTATTACAGAATCGGTAATAATGGTCTTAAATTAGTAACAAGAATACAAGAATTTTACTTTCTCTTCTTTGTAGTTGGTTTATCCCAAATTAAAAATGTCTGACAATTATTGGACGGCCTTAAATTATGTTAATCAAGCTTTAGATGCTTTAGAAATAATGCTTAAACAAAAGCAACGTTTAAAACGTGAAACCTCGAATGAAAATTTGGAATACATTTATGACACCTTAAATGTTAACAATTTAAATGTTAATAAATTGCTTAAGGCTAAAAGAGTTAATAAAATAAATACCGAAAAACCAGAATTTGATACAATCAAAGCTTCTAAAGTCATAGTTAGCGACAAATACAGCCAACCCCAACCAGAAAGAGTTAATCCTGCAGAAAGTTTAGATTATAGAGATGAAGATGAATTCATGACCATAAGAAATCTACAGATTACCGGAAAACTTAATGAATATCAATGGTCAGACTTACTGAATAATACTTTGAAACGTAAACAGGAAATACAATTCCTTAAAGCGCCAGTACAAATTAGAAATTTAAAAACCGATACTTTGCTAGTGAATAATGATAAAATAAATGAACAAAATCTGGGAGCGCTTATACCTATTAATACGGGCAGATATGTTATAAATCAAGATATACAATTTGCCGCACCAATAACTGCAAATCGTGTGGAAATATCACAAAGATTAAATAATTTGCATGTTTTTCAAGGACATTTTGATGTTTTATTGAAAAAATCCAATAAAACGCAAGTGATAGAAGGCATGAAAAATGTAACCAATATCAAGGTTCTAGAGCCCATAACAATAGCGGTAAGTAAAAAAGTAGTTAGAAAAATAAATAAATTTTTAATCTCTTAATATATTTTTGTACTTAAACAGGGCAAAATGATGGGCCGCCAACTAGAGGCCATATCCCCCAACAAATTCATACATGATGAGTTGATATTACAGGGCAACTTTATGATTAATGGTGATGTTAATATTAATCACCAATTAAACACTTTGGATCTTATAGATTTAAAAGAAAAACTATCCGCTAAACAGGTCCTGGATATGGGTATACGTATGGATAAAAGTTTAAAAGATGTTAATCTTAGGTTTCTGCAACCTTTGAGGGCTAATAACTCTTTAGTTAGTTTTGTTAATCAACATGATTTGCAGCGTTTGGTTAAACTCAATCAAGATGATATACAAATAATAGAGGGTACAAAATTGTTTAAGGACTCTTTGGAAATAAGTAGAGGTTTTAGTGAGGTAAAAAATCTCAATGGTGTCGATATGGAGAAATTGGAAAGAAATGCATTTCTAAAGAATAACAATCAAACTATAACGGTACCCATGAAAATTGGTAAAATTTCAGCGAAAAAGTAAGCAGATTTGGCAATTCTATCTATCTTTCTATCTATCTATCTATCTATCTATCTATCTATCTATCTATCTATCTATATATCTATATATCTATCTATCTATCTATCTATCTATCTATCTATCTATCTATCTATCTATCTATCTATCTATCTATCTATCTATCTGTCTGTCTGTCTGTCTAAATAAATAATTAAAACTTTACATTAACAGCATTAAAAGTCCTACGGTACTTTTAAACTCTAATAACTACACCGATTACTTAACCCTAACTGGCAATCAAACTATACAGGCGAACCTAATCATCGACAATCTCAAAACCAAACATCTAACCGTGGAACATTTAAATACCGATGGCAAAATATTTAATCAACACTTACAGGACATATATCAACAAAAATCTCGCAATGCTCCGCAAGAAGATTTATTCCAAAGAAATCGCAAATTCCACGGTTCCATTTATGTACAAAATCTTATACTAAATACCACTATTAATAATAAAAAAGTTGAAGGAATTGAAAATCAACTGTTACAATTAGAGGGCAATATAAAATATGTTGGAAATTTCAAATTTAATTATGCCATGAATGTTACAAATATGACGTTCCAAGGTAAATTAAATGATATTACAGCTCAGGAATTTGGTAAATGCTGGTTGCAAAAAACTGGGGAAAAGCAAGTGTTTACAGCAGTCCAATCTATAGCCGAGATAAATGCTGAAGAGGGAGTACAATTATTGGGTAAATTAAATGGTTTTACAATGGATGATTTCTATGCCAAAACTTATTGGATAAATCGTGATGAATATATAGAAAATGTAAATTTTGGTAAGTATTTCATTTTCAATACTAATACGTACAAAGTCACTATTCAACTTATATTTCCCAAGAAAATCCTATCGAAATAACGGGTTCTTTAACCACCCAAACCCTTAACAACTATTTGGTGCCCCAGGATGTACTCTATAAACAAGCGAAAGATTCCCCCATTATTCTGCAATCCCTAACAGTTGATGATAATTTCATAGTTGAAGGCAATATTAACAATTTAACTTCTGTTAACGATATAAATATCTGCGAATTACAAGACTTTTTGTATAATCCTCATGGTGATTCTTTATATGTACAGCAGGCTTATTTTGCTCAAACTGCTCCTCTGTATAAAACTTTAAATAGTCATTATATAAGAAAGACTTTGGATTCCGTTTGGCTGGCCAATGAGAATGTAGTTTTACCTCATCATATTGAAATAGTTGATGCTTATTTTGACGGTCTATTGGAATTTGAGGTAAGTCCTATGAACAAAATTTTCCTTTTCCAGTTGTTAAGGTAGTATATTTTTCTTTAAAGGGTCCCATTAATAATATGAATTTGGATTATTTAAAAGAAAACTACTTTAGTAAATCTAAGCCACAAGAAGTTTCTGTCGACATGGTGTTTTCCGAGGGAGCTGAATGTGAGGGCGTGTTAAATGTTAATGAGCTTCAGGTATTCGGTCCACTAATAGAGGGAGAAAGGTGAGAATATTATTTGCAAATCATAAATGTTGAAACTAGTTTTTAAACTTTCGTTCCTACAAAAGCACATATAGTCAATACAATACCTATAGAGTAGTCTGATGTCTATTCCATTGTATTGTCTACAGTCTAGCAAATAATCGAGTCTATACTCTAGTCAATAGTATAGTCTACAGTCTAGTATATTATATATATACTTTTCTATAGCCCTATCTATAGTCTAGTGAGAGAGGTACTATGGTCTTTCAGTTATGATAAATCTCAAAATTTGTGAATTTTTATTAAATTTACTTTTAACAATTACTGTTTTGGAGTCACTGGCTCGCCATGATAAACAGCTGATCAATGTTAACAAAACCAAAAGTTTAACACGTTAAATTATTCAATTTATCTTTTAAATTAACATAATTCTTTAACTTTTTAAAAGTAGAAATATACCTTGTAATTAATATTCTACAAATATATGCAAAATAAAAAGAAATCTTGCAATTTCCTTAGGAAAAACAGTTAAAATCAGACCACAACAAGCTACACAATATTTACAAAATGAGTAACAAAAGAAAACTGAGAAAAAAAGAGATGCCACATCAGTTTTTAACTTTTATAGGTTTACCAGACATGTTTTTTTTTCTTAACAAAACAGCATTGCCATATTAAAAATGTATTAAATAAATAATTTAAATATTTTTTATTACTTTAATTTCCAAAAAAACAGCAAACAACATTTAAATTTTAATGAATTTGTGCAAAACACTTTAAAAACTTCAGGACCTCACATAATCTCCGGCAATTGGTCCCTACTAGAAGCTATAGTACAAGGAAATCTGAATGGTGTATTAATCAATCACTTGAATCTAGTAGATGACATAGTGCATACAGTAAAACCTGTGCAAGCTTATCAATTAAAAGCCACCAAAACCTTTAAAAATGCTTATATAGAAAATCTTTATGCTGATCCTTCCAGTTATGTTAATAAAGTTCCCATAGCAAATTGGATTAAAGAAGCTGTATATCTATACGAAAATTACACTATCAGAGGAGTAACCACTATAGATTCCCTAAATGTTTACAACAATTTAATGGTTTTAGGAAAATTAAATAATATTACTTTTAATGAAAACTATCTACTACTGCAAAATATTGAACAACATATACCAGGCCATATGAAAATTGTTAGCCATTTGGCAGCCGAAAAACGTTTTCTCACTAATAATATAGAAAATTTATATGCTGACTTTATAAATCGTCAGTATATAACAGAATTTATAGAAAATCTTGTGCCGGCCTCAACAACTAGTGAGATTAAAAGCCATTTAGTGTTTAATCATCCTTTAAAGGTGGAAAAATATGAAGGTCCTGAAGGTTTTCTAACACAAAATCAATGGCTGAAACGGGATATCAATGAGCAGAGACAAATAAGTAGAAATTATATGGAAAATCGAGAAAATATTGAGGATTTCATTAAAGTAAAGGAGTATTTAAAAAATATTACAAAAAGTAAGTTATTTAATTACTACTTTTTATTTTCATCATAATTTATTTAATTTTGTTAGATCATGTTTATAAATTGGATCATTTTGATGTCATACAGACTATAGAGATTCAATCAGAGGAAGTTTTTACTTTAAGTCTTGAGTTTGATTCGAAAATTGTGGATATTTTGATTGTCTTTAATGCAAAAGATGAAAATGCAACTATTTATGAGTGGAATCTGGAAAAGGGACAATTTGAAGAAACTAGTGGTAAGTTTTTTTTATTTATTTATATCAAAAGAAAGATTTATATTGAAATCTGAAAATTTATAGCGAAAATCAGTCTACAGTCTTGACTATAGATCAGTTTACAGTCTTGACTATAGATCAGTCTAAAGTGTTGACTAAAGATCAATACAGTCTTGACCAAAGATCAATACAGTCTTGACTATAGATCAGTATATAGTCTTGACTATAGGACAATCTATAGTCTTGACTATAGAACAGTGTATAGCCTTGACTATAGCACAGTCCATAGTCTTGACTATAGAACAGTCTAAAGTCTTGACTATAGAACAGTCTATAGTCTTGACTACAGATCAATATATAGTCTTGACTATAGAACAGTGACTATTGAATATTCTAGACTATAGCTAGGTTCTTGATTATAGTTCAGTCTATATAATATAGACTAGTATATATGACTTAGACTAAGTATTTCATTTCTCACCAAAATACTGTATAAAATTTTTAAATATCTCATATTTAAAAAATCTACAAAGAAAAATAATAAAAAATCTTACCTTAATGTCTTGAAATTATATAGCGATCGATTGATTATCATTTTTTGTAACTTTTTTCTAACTAAAATTATCACTTAACTTTTAATTTTTATACCCAATTTTCTTTGATTTTTTTTATCAAATTTAGGAATAATTCCAATTTTTTAAACAGGCCATATAAAAACACATTTAGTGTTTTAATTTAATTGGGATTTTAGACACTTTTATAAAAACTGCACTTTTTACTTTTTTATAATTTAAGCTGAGAAATTTAACAGATTTTACATTAAAACATTTATTTACAGAAATTTTAATTTTTTTTTTTTTTTATTTTCCCATTTTTTTTTTTTTTTTGCATAATTTCACTATTTCTTTATATATTTGGAATATATCCAATTTTAAACAGGCCATATTAAAACACATTTTGTGTTTTTTTTTTTTTTTTTTTTTTGGGAATTAAAATTTTTTAAAACTTTACACATTTGTAGCATATTAGCGACGATATGTTGAAATTTAAATTAACACTTTTTTAAAAATTTACACGTTTTGATGATCGAATAATCGAGCGAATAACGAATATAGTTGTGGCGATATCGAGTCGAGTTTTCATAAATTGAATTGACTTTTTGTTTTGACTATATAACCCTAAAAGAAATATACTGAATGATTGTAGACTTTGCTAAACTATACTTAACTTAAACAGAAACGGAAATTGTCTAATAGGAAATTCACTAGTTAAAATTTGAATTGTTTAAACAGAGTTGTTATTCAATTTGAACGGAAAGAGAAGAAACTGTCATTAAAGCGACAGAGTTGTTACGTTTTATAAGATAATGACGGAAAAGGAAGAATGCAAAATCGAATAAAGCAGGCATGTCGAAACACAGAGCTGTTTAAAGGAACAGAGACGTTTGTTGCTGATAAGAAAAAGACGGGAAAAGGAATAATGCATATAAATAAAACAGAGATGTTAATAACTTAAAATAAATTGCAATAACTGCAACAAGTACTGGAGCACATTAGGTTGGCACCAAAAAATAAAGTTATGAAAGTTTTTAACTTAAATAAAAGTTGACTTTATTTTAAGGTGTGAAAATATTTAAACACACAATTTTCATTTACATACATATAACAATATTTTTTTTTTATATATTGAACGCAAAATAAATTTTTTTGAAAAATAAACATGATTATCAAAGTTAAAATTAATGAATAAATATTGTTGTTTGAGAAGAAAAATAATAATATTCAAAATAGGTATACTTTTATTAAAATACACTACTAAACAATAATTTCCTTTAAACAAGCTAAACTCTCGAAATACTTAGTAAAACCCATACCATTTTTTTGCTCTCTTCAAATGACACCACCCTAATGTGCTGCATTATACATGCATACCAACAGGTACTTAAAAATATGTTATGGTTTACATATTAAAGCAAATTCTTCAAAGAACTTATAAAGACTACTTTAATTTTAACAATAAAGAAAAGAAAGACTCTATTTTAAGGTGTAAAAATATTTAAAATCATATTGGTTGTTTGAGAAGAAAAATAATAATATTCAAAATAGGTATACTTTTATTTAAATACACTGCTAAACAACAATTGATAATACAAGTTTCCTTTAAACAAGCTAAACTCTCGAAATACTTAGTAAAACCCATACCATGTTTTTGCTCTCTTCAAATGACACCACCCTAATGTGCTGCATTATACATGCATACCAACAGGTACTTTAAAATATGTTATGGTTTACATATTAAAGCAAATCCTTCAAAGAACTTATAAAGATTACTTTAATTTTAACAATAAACAAAAGAAATTCCGTTACATACACTCATCCAACCACTGCTATTACTATAAACTACACAACTGACTGCCTGTTGAGTGGCACAGGATGACGCTTTTTTAACTTAACAAATTTCAATTATAGATAAAGTAATTTTTGAAAAACCTTCATAACGCCCTATATAAATGACAATCAAAGTTTACAATTAAACACTTTTACAATTGTTTAACACTCTGTAATGTTTAATTTTTCAATAAAAACTTTACACTCACGAAATTAATACCGATTGTAAAGAAAACCGCGCGAACTATTTGACAATTGAAGTGTTAGAGATGTTACATTTGCTTATAAGAATAAGAAGGATGGGAAAAAACTGTCAAAAGCGATTAAGACAGAGTTATTTAATGAGAATGTTACTAACTATAAGAGGGCTGTTTTAATACATGAAGTATTTCAACTTAAAAATTCCGTTATAAATAGAGTTATTTTTGAAAAGCATTTATAAAGCACTTTATTAATGATATTTAAACTTTATTTAAATTTAATATTATAAATTGCTAATATAAACTCACCACTCACTAAATGAATACCAATTATAAGGAAAAAGTGAGTTATTTAATGACAATAAGAAAACAGAATTAAAACTGTCAAAAGCTATTAAAACAGAGTTATATAAAGGCACTGGTAATTATTATTACGGGGTGTTGTATTAAGATTTGCTAAAAAAAGCAAAAACAAAAAACTGCAACAATAAAATGTCAAATTTAGTATTTCGTATACTTTTTATGAAAATTAGAGAAAACTGTTTTATTCTACATAAATAACAAAGAACGACTACACTTTTAATTAACAAGTACAAACTTGTTAATCTGCTGCCAGCCTAATGGCCCACATAACACATGCAATCAAACAGGTACCTTAAAATATGTTAAGATTTACATATTAAGCAAATTCTTCAAAAAATTTATAAAGATTTATTTAAATCTAACAATTAACAAAACAAATTTCATAACATACACTCTTCCGTCCACTGCTATTACTTAAACCACACAACTGACTGCCTGTTGAGTGCCACAGGATGATGCTATTTTTCCTTAATAAATTTCAATTATAAATAAAGTAATTTTTGAAAAATCACGACTACGCTTTTAATCAACGAGTACGAATATGTTAATCTGCTGCCACCCTAATGTGCCACATACTACATGCAATCAAACAGGTGCCTTAAAGTATGTTGGTATTTACATATTAAAGCAATTCTTTAAAGAATTTATAAAGATTTATTTAAATCTAATAATTAACAAACTAAATTTCGTTACATACACTCTTCCGTCCAATGCTATTACTATAAACTACACAACTGACTGCCTGTTGAGTGCCATAGGATGACGCTATTTTTCTTAACAAATTTCAATTATAAATAAAGTAATTTTTTAAAAACCTTCATAACACCCTTTATAAATGACTATCAATGTTTACAATTAAACACTTTTTACAATTGTTAAACAATTTGTAATGTT